CTTCGTGAGGGTCGATGAAAAAACTATATCCAAGCATTCTATTTAGAAAGGATATTTGGAAGTGTTCATGGACATTCTAAACGGTCAGTAGGGTTTATTAAAACGTATATGAACGGGATTAATGGCATCATCAATCGCCTAAAAGGCTTATGCTAAAGTATTTGAAGGGAATCATGGACCTTATCAATAGCATGAAGGGTTTAAGGTAAGGTATATGAAGAGTATTATTGGCCTTATCAATAAACGGAAGGATTTATTAAAAGGAATATGGAGACGTTTAATAACAGCATCAATAGCTTCGAGGGATTGATGAAAGACTAAATAGGAGAGTTCATCGCCATAACCGACAAGCCCAGACGCTAATGAAAGATATATACAAGAATTATTAACAGTTTTTATCGATCATTGCTAGTACGTGACTGCTAAATGTACAGCTTCATAACCATCAGCTATGGGCTTTCAGGTTTACGAAATACTGAACGAAACTGCTTTTGCGCATCATCACTACTTCTGAAGCTTGATGATCAATGGTATTGTCGGTCGGTAATCCCAATAATAGGAGCATAACTAGTAAAAAAAAATGAATGAAATTATACAAGTTCAATCTAACTCTTTTAATAAATCCTTAAAGACAATGGGAAAAATGAAATAAAGAAATTGAAATAGATTAAACGAAATTACTTGAATCGATTTCGTGCAAAATGTGTTCGAAGACGGTAAGGACTATAAAATGACAAGAAAAATAAATAACTAGATGGAATAATTCTAATCAAACTCATCACAATGAATTCTCGATGACTACCAAGATCAAAGAATCTGACTATAGGATCTTTTACGATTTCTATAAGAACATAACGAAACTTACTGCATGATCTTCTATAAGAATACAAGATCGTATGAAAATCATATAAGATCTTGTACGATTCTTGGAAGATCTTATTGTAGGATCCTGTAATACTCATATAAAATGTTGCGGAGTCTTCGAATGCATTCTACAATGAGTCTCCACTACCCAATCAGCTTATTTTCTACTCTAAGCAGTTCTTCTTTCAAAAAACTAACGAAACTGTTCACTCGTTTGAATTAATGCTTATCCTTTACTATATGGTTAGGTTCAATCTAAATAAAAGAAACACTTTATTTTACAAAATAAAAAATGCTCCTATCAGTTCATCTTCATAGGTTCTGAAGACGATTATGAGAAGGAAATGAAGAAAAGAAAGAAAACTTAAAGTAAATTATTTCACTAAATTTTTCTCATTGTATATTGATTTGATACTGTGAACATAGAGCTTATGTAGTGTGCAATGGGAAAGGTTCCGCTGTCAAGTATTTAGGTATTTCGAATATCATAGCTAAAGACTGTCGGGAGAGTAAATAAATCGTTTGGTAAATGAAGAGAAGAGCGAGCAAAGTATTGTTTTTTCGTGAATAGAAAAGGTATGTGTGCTGAAGCGATTGGATAGAATTCAGAGTGTAATTGTGTAACGGCATAAGTTGTATGGTTTTTTAATCTGAGATTTTAAATAGTGTTTCATAAGTTTGGATCCCGTTTTTATTTTGTTTTCTATCTTTGCCGTATTTAATTATGGAGAGTTATTCAATATCTTTTTGAAAAATAAAATCTACTCTATCAATCGAAATAAGCTGCATTTAACTTGCATGAACTGTAAGACAGAACCACGTCTATATAAATTTTCATAAAATTTTGCCTAACGTAGTTTTATTCTTTCACTATCAGGATTAGCAAAGAATAGCAGCTACTTACTCGTTCAACAGCTGCAAGTTATTTGTGTAATACCTTCTGTATGGTACGATGTTCAGGTCCTTATTATTATTGATTATAATACTAACTAGATGTCATTCTCATTTTTGTAATTTCGAAATAGACTTATAATGCGCCAGCATGAAAAAAAATTGCTTTTGACATTTCCATAAATAAAACTCAATAAATCTAGTTTCAAAAGCATCAATTTCCCTTCAGTTATTTTCCTATGATTTACTTCGTTTCAAGGTTACATTCGACCATAATAACATACTAGAGAAAATGAAACGCAAATATTCGATATCAATACTTATTGGTATTAAGTAAGAAGACAAGAACATTGTTCTTTCTTTCTCCGAAAGGCACATGAAGGATGTGAGTGTGGGTGTAGGAGAGGATATACTTGATAGGAATATTGTCACTACACACATCATATTTAACTACAAAGATTAACAGGTGAGAAACATGACAAGCATAAGATAAAAACGAAAGAAATTATTTTACTCTTCCTGGACCCTTCGACCACACCTACATCTCTTTCCCCTTATCAGTCGGTATTCGACGAATTCTACACTTTTTATGATATTGATAGCGCTGGTGAGTGTAAGGATTCTTTTTATTCATGAATCGCCACCAACGTTTTGAAGAGATGCGACGCCTGCATAATTCCTCTGATAAAAAGATTTAATGAAAAACTGAGCTATCTCGAAAAAGAGCTTATGCTTCAATTTTTTATCATATTTTGAATGTAATTCAACATTATTAATACAGTTTAATTTCGAAGTTAGTTGAAATCGCATGGCTCTATATTACTATACGCATCAGCAAATTATTGCATTCGAAATATTTCATGTTCTTATCAGCAATATCAAACTCATACTAATACCGTCGTCACATCAATTGAATGCTTGCATACATCACAATGATGCGTCTTATTATTCTTACGATCGTTATCTTTGCTAGTGGTGTCGCTACGACGACTTATTTCTACTCGGGTTATCTACCGACACCAAATACATGGGAGGCCAATCTTATATTTAGAGAAAACTATTCTCAGTTTTGTCACAGACTCAATAAGCAATACGTGAGTGCCGAGACTGTAATGAATCATTACACAGGACACCAGATGAATCGCGGTGGTTACTTTTATAAATCATGGTACTATGTTGGTCCACGTTATTGTATTGACGATTTATTCATAGACTATGAGCACGGAGAAATAACCGCAAAAAATGCGTATACAGTGTGGAAATACAGTGGATCATGTGGATGTTGCATATCAATTGATGGTTGGACCTATGAACGCAGGGCGTTTATCACATGCACTTGATTCTGTTTTGTTCAGCTTATGATCATAAAAAAACATAAATTATAAGATTCTCCAAAAGAGCCTGAAAAATGTGAACACACTCAAATAGTCCTTGTAACAATGCATAACACTTTTACGATGCGACGTGGGTGGGTGTGGGTATGGCTATCTCTAGAGGAATGCAGATGAACTACATGCAGAAGCACATAGCGACACCAACACCCACACCCTCACTTGATCGAATAAGGCCAACAAGATATTCAGCAACATAACGAATAATTTTATCAACTGCAAATAAAACATGTGAACATGATTTATTTTTTAGATAGAAAAACGGCATTAAGATTTAAAAAATTCGATTTTAAACAATGATAATCATTAGAATTCAAGATCAGAAATTTATCCAAATACTTTTGCTAAATCAATGGCAAGAACTTGTTAGATCCAGATGCAGATTGAATCTAAGAAACTCTGTGCTTGTACACAGTGTTTGGTATAGATGACAATTGCACATGCTAAAGTTGTAAATATTTGAGTCAATCTTCACCAGTTCGAAGAAATGATTTAGGAATGTCATCTTTCTCTAAGAACTATGTATCACTTCGAAAAAAATACAATCAAAAACTGTGCTCTTTTAAGTAAACGTCTTACTTTTTTTCATTGATTGATGTTTTCTTAATGATCAAATTTACGGTTTGAACTGCCATCAGAAGTGAAACATTAATTATTTTTTATCTAATTCTGACGAAACAACGTTCCTAACTGTTTAATTGCTTTTTGCTTAAAACTATTGTTAAAATTTTGTTTATAAATACATCTTATCATGATTTTAAATAGTCTGAAGTTTGAGCCAAAACGAACATATTGTTGCTAAGACATTTATATTTTAAAGAAAACGTCTGTGTTTTGACTTATGTTTCAAAAGAAGCACTTTTCTACGACAAGCTTATATCTGACTAAGAATATGCTACTTCACACGTCAGCTTTAGAATGTTTTTAATGACTACAATGCCTATCTATGGCCAAAATTTCAGCTCGAAATTCGATCTTTCAAATTCTCAATACATTCTATGCTCATAAGACAAAAAATCCTGTAAAACACCCCATAATGTTGAATCAATAACTCTTTCCTTGTGAAGTGGAGTGTGAGTAAGCGTCTTCTCTTCATGTACTCTCACATTCACACCATGCAACCTAGTAGTTAGCCTCATATTTATCGTTTGTAAAGAATGAAAACATTGAAGTCAAGATATTTGACTTGCCTTGTCCACCTCTGCATGTTTACTAAAAACCTAACGATTTCTGAAGCTTTTCTCTTATTTTTCTAATAATAAATAGCAATATCAAGCAAATCATCACTTTTAATCATCGAAAAATTCATCATAACAAGTCACACGAATTTCTTTCTTTGAAAGTTTACAGAGAACTCAATATTCTCTCCTTTCTCTGGATTGAGATACACGCAAAATAGAAGTGTCACAATCGTTCTGATTCAATCGGTAGTATCGCAGTGTTTTTCGGTTTCAGGCTTAAACCAATCACAAATTAAGGTCGAATATGTTGAGTCAAGCGGTATAATTCGATTTGGATCATTGGTTTGCTGATTTGCACGCACAGCTTGAATACTTGCTGCTATCATACAACTTAGAGTGACGTCGAATTTTTCTGGCAATATGGGATTCAGAATTCCTACAAATGTAATAGGCATTCCACCGTTGACGACAGTCAGCTTTCGTTGATTGTCGATGTGAAATTCAATATTACGATGGATATCTTCACTAGTGAGCTCATTGATTTGGACACTCGATAGACCGGTTTCAGTGTCGGTTAATGCACGTTGAACCATCTCATGAAATGGAAATTCGATGGCTCCTGATGATACGCTTATCAAGTAGGCATTATCACGTAATAACGAAAAAGACGACATCGGTAATGAGCAACGACCTGTACAGCCAATCACATAATCGAATTCTTCGTTGCTATTCCAATTATTGAATATTTCGAAACCATCGTCCTGTGCCAGTTGACGTCTAGGAGCATCTTGATCCCAAACTTTGACCGAACCTTTAGAAAAGATGTCCAAGTCACCACCATGCATTAAAGCATGACCGATTGCTTGTCCAATAGCACCGTAACCAAGCAATAGACATTTGTGTAATTGTGATGGTTTTGGAATTCGTAATGACTTTGGAGCATCGTAAAATAAATAAGATAACATGTTTAGACAAGCTTCGGCAATCAACAATGGTTCTAGTCGTCGTTTGGGCTCACTAGAAGCTACGTCAATGATCGATGTTCCGATTCGATTCAGTGCTTTTTCAATGCTCGGCTGATCAATATACTTGAAGAGACCACGTGACGTTTGTTCGACGAGACGAATTTCGATCGATTCCAAGTGTGATAGAAGCAATGATGCATCAGATCTTTCAATTTTCAATGTTGCTGGAAGATGTTCAACGAGTTGATTTGGATCTAGTTTGCCGTCATCAATCTCATAAAGATGGGCCAATGCTTCAGCAAAACAGGCCCCACTATCTAATACGAGTAATTTCATATGTGTTACTTTTTGTCTCGTAAATTCAATCGTGATCAGTCGATTCAATTCAAATAAAACCTGTGCCAAACGATATTTTTCGTAGTTGTAGCTTAAACAGTATGGCGTTGCATGAAAGAAGTTCTCTTCTGGAACTCCGAAATGTTCAATAACGAATTTTTCAAATCTTTTGTGATGCGTATACGGCGGTGGCAAATAATATAAATTCGAAGGCGATGCGCCCAGAACCAAAAGTGCTTCGATTTGTGCAGTCACGTCGCCTAGTTCATGTTGAATATTCCATATTGTATAATTTTCCAGCGGCTTCGCGTTTTGTACTGATTTGACTATTGAAGACAGCAGTGAAAGATCGGAAAGACGGATGCATTGTTGATGAACACGCGTTTCAAATGGAATATGAGTAACGAGATCGTCCGTATTCATGAATCAAGTATCTGAAGTCGATCTAGAATAAAAACGAAATGTAATATTTGAAAGCAGGTGGGATCGAGATCTTGCCGCGAATGGATTCTCGAAATTTTTACTACAAAACGTTTTTGAGACCCATAGGACTAAAAAGTGCTCGATTTGATTCATGTTTACAACGAAACCTTATAGGTTTTGCAGTATAGTCTCAAGTAACTCTATCGTGCTTCAAGTACTTTGTATTTTTGATGCCGAACCTTTTTTCGTCTTGCAGATCTCAGTAAAGTTTCGTAGCGAAGGTGCCGAGAGCGTACTCGCACAAAGAGCCATTTTAGGTACTGCAGCCCTTGTAGAACTTAAAAGTTTAATATTAAAGCGATTTTTTAAAGTTCGTTGTAAGTAGTACTTCGTTTGGTGTTATCTTGTCCATTTATATACTTTTCTTGTAATGCGATAAGAGTATTGTTATCATTATCTTTCGAGCAAGATCCGCGAAAAATGATGACTCAACGAATAGTTCGCTACTTTTTCGTTCTGTGATGAAAATAGACATTAGTATGACATCTGCTCTTTATATCATACGCAAGTCTTGTGCACAAGCACGAGACTGTCTTCATCTTCAAATAAACAAAAACACATTTTCTGTGTAAAAACAGAGAATTGTCTATTTAAATGGTATGCCGATGCCTCAATCACTCAAAAGCATAGTTAACAATGAAACAATCTATGCGTAAGAGTTCTCGAATAGGAAACTAAAGAGAATGAACTGTGTTAGTTGAAAGATTATTGTTATTAACTTACAACGCAGTGTCTACAGATTTTTAAAGTATTTATCTATTGACCGACACAAACTTTGTTTAGATCTTAGCAAATTTCAATTTGAGTTCGATGAGTGTCATTTCGAGGGCATGAAAAAAGTCCGAGCTAATTAAACCCAAATGATTTGATGTTGTAATGGAGTACTGAAGTAGAGGTGTGCAGGGTAAGTATTTTTCGTACCCTGTACCCTGACCAAGCCGAGTTTTCTTACTCTGATCCTACCCTACCCTGTGCAATCTCTCAGATTCTGCACCCTTACCCTACTCTACCCTGCCAACTGTGTACCCTGACCCTACCCTGCCAACTGTGTACCCTGACCCTACCCTGCCAACTGTGTACCCTGACCCTACCCTGCCAACTGTGTACCCTGACCCTACCCTGCCAACTGTGTACCCTGACCCTACCCTACCCTGTAAAATCTCTCCGATTCTTCACCCTTACCCTACCCTGTCCGGCCAACTGTGTACCCTGACCCTACCAAACCCTGCAAGTTCTCAATAGTTCTTTACCATTATCCTACCCTGTCTACCGTCTATCCTTACCCTATCCTACCCTACAACATTTCTACATTTCTTCAGCCGTACCCTGCCCAATACTGTAGCCCGTCTATCCTTACCTTACGAAGTTTTTATCTGTCTCTGTCTTAATCCTACTCTAGTTGGAACATTTTAAGAATGATAACTAGCCAAATAGTATGACATTGTTCATATTTATTTCGTATTCTATTAATCAACAAAATATTACATAACAACTTTTTTGAAATTTCTAATGAACAGCATATCATCAATAATATCATCACTGAAATTTTGTCGCCGCTCTTCAAGAATTCTGCCAATCGTACTGAAAATTCTTTCGCTAGTACATGAGCTAGCTGATATACCAAATAATGATCGATCTAGAATACTAAGTTTTGGATAAGTTATTGCCCATTTTTTCCACCAGTTCAATACTTTTTCTTCATTGTTGATCACTAACTTTGCTTTTGCATAACGATCAACTTCATTTTCATCTTCTCCTTCACTAGAATCAGTTTGATTCTCTTGAGCAAATTCCATCATAACATCATCTTCTGAACAATCGCCTCTTTTTATCCTTTTTGATGTTTTTCTTGATTTAGCAGCACTAATTGTTGGATTTATTGGTATTATTTCTTCATTTTGTTCAGTAATGTTGAGCGTTTTCAATATATCTTTTGTAGCTTTATGAACATCATTGCGTTCATGTTGACTACATGACTACAGAGAATAAGTATAAAACAATTAAGTTTAACTTTTATATTTTCCTTCACGTATAGGACCTACTAATAGGTTTTTGGTAACAGAATGTAGAAATGTTGCAATGTCATGGAGTCGTGTGAGCCAGATTTTTTCATTAATTCTTTCTAAAATTAATTTCTTGAATTGCTTGATTACAGGCAAGTCATCAGGCTTAATTGCACAAAACAATTTTAATTTATTAATCCAGGGTAAAACCAGGTAAAGAGTTGGTTCTTGATCAGCACACAACTGTTCACTGGCTTTCTTGAAAAAGAATAAAATTTCGTTTATGTTTTTTAGCAAAGTCTGATCGATTTTATCTAAATAAACAGCATATTCTTTTCTGTCTAAAAGAATGTCTTCAATGCCTGTGAACTTTATATCAATAGAATTTAACATATCATATATTGAGTTCCACCTAGTTTGACAATGTTATTTTAAAGATACAGAAAGCAGGTGATTCAATTCACAACGTTTAAAGTGTGTAACAAGTTCAGCAGCTGCTGTAACTAATGCATAAATAATTGATCATTCTTCAATAGAATGTTGAACAACCAGGTTCAAACAGTGACCTACAATAATTAAGATGTTTTTAATGTTATTAACCTATTTCTTTAATCTAGATAATTTTCTGAGAAATAGAAAAATCATTCTTCTTCTAGAATTTACTTAAAATAAAAACATTCTTTTATTCAACGTTTCATCTAATTGTTCATAAAATTCTCTCTTCTCTGAAAAAAGAAATTATTTTATATGTAGGCAGTTACGTACAAATGCATCGTAAATGAACTTCTTCTTTTAATCCTGAGATAAAATTCGAAGCATTATCTGTTAAATATATAATATGTTTACCATCTGGATCTATATCATACGATTTTAAGACCATTTTAATCGTTTGAATTGTATTTTCACCACTTTTTGTTCCTGAAAATAAAATTGTTTTTAACATATATGTCATAAGATCATCATCTTTTGTATAATGGATGTTTATTGTTAAATAAGTATCACCGCTACAGTTACCTTTCCAATAATCAGTACTTATACCAATTAATTTTACTCGTTCTAAATCTTGACGTAATATCTTATTTATCTTCGAACGATATTCGTTGGCAATTTGTTTAACAGTACGTGATATATTTGTTCGATCAGGAAGTAAGATATTAGCTGATGGTTTATTTAATTTGACTGAACCATGCTTATAACCAATGTCTATTAACACTTGGCATAATTGTTTGAAGCCATTGCCGTGTACTGAATTAAAGGAGCGCATATCAAATGCGCAATATTTTGCACATGCAATAGTAACTGTTTTTTTATCATCAGGTGATACACTAACGTTTCTTGTAGCATAATGTTCAATTGACATAGTAGATTTTGATACATTCGTTTTTTTCGGTACAATTTTGTACATGAAGATTCAGTGTATTTGTTCCATTTTTGACATCGTAAGATAATATTTGTTGACAAATAATACATTGAACAAACGGCTCATATACACCATTTAAATCTTTAATTCGAAGTAAATTGGACCAAAATTCTCCTGTTGAAGATGTTGGTTTTTCCTCACACACTAAATTTAAATGCGTCGTGTTTATGTGTCGTGATTTACTGTGTTGTGCGCTCCAGCACAAAAACGTGTCGTGCCTTGAATGTGTCGTATATGAATTTGTCGCGTTCTGTCTATCGACTATTCATTCACCGTTCTGTTATGCACGCATGGTGATATATAAACAACGCGGGTGAACGTACGAAAGATAAATTTTCAAAACATTCTTCTTTTCTAGATTATTTCTCGATCATTTTTTAATCGAGAAAATGCCAATTTCGATCTACTATAGAGAGAGGACTACCCTGAAATGGTCTGATGTAAATCGGACAGACTCGAGATCGGCCAAATCTCAGGATATGACCTGTCTGAATTATTCAGAATATGAATAAATAAATGGAAATAAATTGAAAAAAAAATCGAAATATGCTTTTCCAAAAGAACCAATGAAAAATGTGACGGATGTGTCGTGGTCTTGCTGGCCAAAATGTGTCGCAACGAGCACCTCGTGTCGTGCTTTAATGTGTTGTACATTGTGTCGTAAATCACGACACATTTTAACTTAGTGTGCAGTCGTACACAATTTACCTTCTTTAATATCAGATAAAATTTCTTTTTTTTCTTATTTCAAATTTTTGTTTCAACAATTTATTCGACATATTTATAAATAAGAAATCAGTTCCAGGTAATTTTAATTCCAATAATACAACAAATAAATATATGATAAATAAATCGATCGATATTAACTTAGATTAATCAATTCTAAACAATGTTAATTCAAATAATATAACAAAAAATATGTAACAAATAAATCGATCGATATTGTTATCAACCGACCATTGCCATATCTAGTGTAATGACTCATCTTATATTGATTTGTTTGAATAAAGACACTTAAAAGATGTCACCACTAAATGGTCATCTGTTGTCCTGTCACGATAATCGAAAAATCCCCAGAGTAAGATTCATGTGGCATGACTTTGATAGCGTTATCGCTATGACTCTAAAATATGATACTCGATTCTTATCCTGACCCTACCCTACCCTGCCGCATCCTTACCCTGACCCTACCCTACCCTGCATGGTAGGGTAGGGCTACCCTGCACATCTCTAGATCTAACCTTTTATACTATTGCGGATATGAAAAGAAAAATAAATATTCTAAGTGACAATATTAATGTGTTTTCGCTTGCATTTCAGCTTCAACTTAAATACAAATGAAGGTTTGATTAAATAAAAACTTGAGAGAATATATACTTAGGGTGTACCAAAAGTTCTGATCACGGCGTTACTTAGCATATAGTAAGCTTTAAAAATCTTTCTTTCCATATAAGCCTGATAGAGAAAAGAATGCTCTATTTTTCTATGCTATTTGATCATACTTCAACTAATATTATGATAATAAATTTTGGATAAGACTTTTTCCGTTATCGTCTGTGGTCTAGTAANATATATAAGTACTCGGTAAATACCACATCTTCTTCTCGTATTCACTTTTTCGAGATGTTTTTCCAGGCTTTTGCTGTAAACCGTGATAGTTTCTTGGGTGTCAAATTGATGATATTTATACTGAGATGCCTGCTTAAAGCAAGCATTATTTCGGTGAGAGTCAGAAGTTATTTTAAATAGAATGGATGATATAAAGTTCTTGACAAATTAGAAGTCCTCCTTATAATAAAGGACTCTTTTTCCTTTAATAATCAAACAATTTTCCTAGGATAAAAGAAGAAAAATACAGATTAAAAGATCCACTCTCGTAGTTGATTTTTTAAAATAATTTCTGTAGTTTATTTTTGTTTTTTGGTACTTTTGTGTCTGTTTATATCTAAGTTCGAACTACATAATATTTTGCGATCAGCATGTTACCGTTGTATTAATTCTGAGTTAAGCCATTTATGAGATAAATCTGATTTAAAAAACTGGTCAAAAAAATATTCTTTTGTCAACAATGTTCCCTGGATGTACCTAAGTACCACTTTGAAGGACGCTCTAAAAAGCCTTTTCTTTTATTTTTTGCAACAAATATAAATACTTTTTGTATCAAAAGGCAAAGACTTAACACGTAGGGATACAAGAAATGTTTCGATGATGACACTTTTTCAAACAAGATCGCATCAGAACATGATTAGATGTAGTCCGAAATTAAATTGCGTCTAGACGTGTTCAACTTAATATATTGAACTTTAACAAGATATTACAATCCGTATTAGGTCTAATCTGATGTCATCATCGATATTCTCTAACAGAGGTCTTTGCCTCAGCAAGAACGAACGGAATGTTGGACTGATTATGTATCTAGAATGATAGAAGTGAGATTAGAATAAATGAACTAGCAACTAAGAAGCAAATGTACATATCATGAGGAAAGACATGATCACAATCGTCATAAAATGAAACAGAACTCATATATCTATAGTGAATTTACATCTTAGTTACAAACGCATATATGAAGGATGCCTGGTTCTGTATGCATAATGTATTGATACTTCATAAATAGCTTTAAAAATTTATTCTTTAAAATAAACTGCTTAAGTTACCTATGAAATATTTCTTATTATGAAGTTTAAAACTGAAATTAGAAACAATCATCCAGTTCTCTCAATGAAATTATTCAACAGCAATCACTTTAGATTGATAAATAAAACTATTTATAAGGATAACCAACTTCTCTTAAATTGTCTAAAAGCTGAGAACCGACTATATCGACAAATTCGTATCTTCATCGGCATCATTAGTATATTTTAACCTCACGAAGTGCGAATATGATAAGCGTACAACGCATATCTTTCATGCCTAAGTCTTGAATTCAATTTTTTGAATATTTTACATCTGAAATTCAGATACTCCACTATTCAATTATTAGGAAAACATACACACCGCACCTCTCTCGATGTGAGTGCCAAGGAAACACATATACAGGATTGGAAATAATATTATTTCAGGGGATACCGCTATAATTTCAAATAGAAGACATAATGAATTTTATACCAAATGAAAGATCGTCAAAAATGGAGTTTATTGGTACTAAATAGTACGGGTTATGAAAACTTTTTAATATCGAAGTTAAGAAATTTTCAGAAATTTTATGCTTTTTTTTTCGGATGGAAAATTAAGATGCAAGTGATTCAAAAATGGAGTAAAATTTTTTTCTTGGATATGTTTACATGTTTTGTAGGATTGAAATGTATGCTCCGCTCATATATTCTTTGCCTGAATTCGACCACGTATATGGTTCAGAAGACCAAATTCCTATCTGATAGAAAAATGTGTTTGATTACGCACATTCAGATGTTTTCTATGACTTGTGTCTTCTATGATTAAGGATTCATTTCGTTTTGCAGAAAAACCACATATTTTTCGAAGTAAGTTTAAAGACAGATTAAAAATATTAAATTAGATAGAGTTGATACAGTCGTCCTTTTTTCTATAAACTGTTACTTCACAAATAGCCGTATTCATTCAAGTAACTAATGAACTAATAACTGAGTTCTTGGTACATTTCTCTTAAAACGGATTTCATCTAGGCAAATCAAACCTAAAGATTAGCAACTGACTTAAATAATATTGATACAAACAATTTACAGTTGCTTGTTGTTTGTTATTTAGCTATTTGGAACGATGAATGTTGTGAGCGATTGATTTTACTGTTTAGAACGAAGAGTACTATTATACATGATGCTAAGCTTTTAGTGTCTGACAGACTGTATTGTGCTAAGTACACTCTTTTTATCAACGATTAATTTTCTTGTTTTTTGCACTGAAATATGATTCATTTCTTTTTGTTGTACGAGCGCAAGATAATTAAAGTAAATATCTTTCCTAACGGTGTATTAGACAAAAAAGCTTTTAACTACAAACTATCGTGGATATTACCAAGAAAATGACTTTTTTTCCAGGACACAATAGAAGATCTCCTGTAAATTGTGAATGATAACATTCGAAGCCTTATAATAAACAGAGGCCTTCAAACTTTTCAAAGATAGTAATAACGTTCTTGGTTTTGTCTCGCTCTTAACGGTGAATACGAGAATGTAGAGAAAACCATCGTTTTTAGATAATGTTTCAATAATCATTCGATATGATAGAGGTCTGCATGTTAATCATACATAAAGAATCAAGACGTAAACTCGATTACAACCTAACAAAATCACGTCAAAATTCCAGTTGGTCAACTAAAGACATGCAATCGAAGCATCTCATCGCAGACTTCACTTGCAACGAGGTTGGCTTAGTCTTTAAATAGTATCTATAGATGTAACATTTTGACCGTAATCCTATGTTGAAAGACTTCAGGCTATATACGTACTACACCGCTTTGTTATCATCCAAATGTCCGACTCGTTTGGAATACCTTATGTGATTGGTTAAAATCGATATGAGCTATTTTCGAATTCAATTTAAAGTTTTCATTCCAACAACTGCATACATCATCTATTCTTTTTTTGTTATATAATAGTGCTGATACTAGAGTTTCTTGCCTTGATTATACGACAAAAAAAAATTTTTTTTTATATCGCTTCTCAAGATGAAGTTATGCTTATTAGACAGAACAAGTGTAGTTGCACGCTTTTCGAACCCGTTTTCCACGATAGTGATTGAGCCGTTTTGATATCAACGTCTTTAATTTGGTGTCCAAACAACTATTGAGGTTTATAGTAAAAACCCAGAAAAGCATTTCGAAAAAGTGAATACGAGAAGCTGATGTGGTATTGGTGTAGTATTAAATTTTACCAAATAATCTAAGTTTGGTACTACCAGTTTGAAACGTAGAAAAATGTTTTTGCTTGTATTTAAATGAATGAAAATATTTTGGATATACAGAAGTCACGTGAGAGAAAGAGAATTATGCTCAAACTCAATTGGTTTGGTGAGTTCAGGTAGCAGACCCACACGCAAATTCAAACTGTTTCAGTTTAGTACATGTCTAACACTAACACCTAGGAGTATTCGTATTAGTTCATTTTACAGATATTTGGATCACACGTGTTCAAGACACTTTAGTTATTTAAGTATATTTTATGATAATTAATGGAAAGGAATCTTTGGCAGAAAGAAATTATTTAAGTGGACTTTCGATGGGTTGTATAGTTCCCGTCATCGTCAGACAATGTTTATAAAATAATAAAAGTTCCAAAATAAGATACACCGCATCAATTCTGTTGCATATCAGTCGATCAATGATCGATATTAATGCCTCATCTCTTTCATTTTTCATTTTACAACATATTTACTATTTACCCTTCCTATAAATTCTCGTGATAATACATTCGCAGACATATTTACGTACTCTATAATAAGCAGATAAACGCATCCATATCGATCATTTGTCGACGGATATGCAACAGAATTTATGTAATGTATCCTATGTTAGAATTGTAGTAACTTATTAATACTGTGTGATAATGACAGTATCATGAAATTCGTCTAAAATCCATTTAAATGAAATTATTTGTTGCAAAACATTCTTTTCAATTTATTGTCATGATATTATTTATTCATTTCATAAGCTATGATCATATATGCTTTGTTTTTCAGTAAATTTTAGTTATTTTATATTTGCTCTTCTCTCTCAACTCTTGTTTTTTCCTTCCGATGATGCTTCAGAAAAAGTGAAAACTGAAGAAAAAAGCTCAACGAACACCACAAGTAATGTCAATCGACAGTTTATTCACTTACCAGGGAATTTTCTCTGGTAATCGACTTCATTGGCTTCCATAGTTCGCCCATATGTTGTACATCATTAGAGTAGTGTAACCTCCAAAAGAATTCCATTTCATGTTTAGATTTACTTGATATAGCAACATTTTAGTAGATTCCTCCTACTGAAATCCAGTTTGCAAAATCAACCATATCTTGCAAATTTGACTTGAGACTTTGTACACATGAAAGTCTCAATTAGACTATATCTTGCTGTGTAAGATAGGCATATATCGAGAAACCCATATCTTGGCAATGCGATATCTAAAACTGATGAAACTTGATACATGAGATGGTCTAATTGAGACTTCTATATGTACAAAGTCTTCAGTTGAATTTTCAAAATATGTGTTTTTTAAATGGATTCTAGGAGGCGAAATCTACTAAAATGTCGCTAGTTCGAGGAAATTTAAACATGAGATGGAAGCCTTTGGAGGTTATGCTACTTTAATGATCTCCTATATATGGACAAAATATGAGGGCAAACGAAGCTGATCACCTCGGAATATTCTCGTTTTAGTCAAGTCAAGAATTGACAGGTTGATACTCTAGAGCATCGGAACTTTCTCCACGAGTATTTTGCGACGAAAATCTCTTAAAGAATGACATAAATACTAAAATTACGATCGAATCAAAGTGTTTCTTTTTAATATTCCAAGCCGACACATTCGAATCAAGAAGCTTTGCTGTTCTTAGAAACCCTTTGAATTCATCTTAAGTTAAGATGGACATGCGTCTAAAAAAAGACTTCATTTATTAATTAACTTTCAGTGTTTATTAATAAAATTCATAGACTAGGTTTATATTTTTACTTATCAATTTAACGAAGCAAGAAAAAACTACTAACTTCTGCATATTCATTATGAAATAAAAATATTCGAAAGAACAATAAAAAAAAGGAAATCAATATTGACAGAGATCAAGGGGTAAAGGGATGATGAAGACCAATGAGAAAGTGACCACTGTGCCATCAGTTGGTATCATTTTGTCTCGAGAAGAAAAGCTCTTGCCAGCTTAACCGTTGTCTACGCTTAGTTTACAAATTCAGACATTGTCAATAATTAATACAAATACGATGCAATAACATCAAATTTCTGTCAAGAATCTTACCTAAAGATTGTCGTACTAAGAACGAAGTAGAAAAGTTCAGTGGTAGTTTGATAATAGCCATTACGAAAAACTAGATCAGCAAAGTTAAGAATCCCCAAAACAGAAAATTTAGCATTAAATTCAATGGTTAACACTTATTTTCTTTACACTTAATATAGATGCGAAGAAAAAAATTAAACTGAAAATTTAAGTTAAAGAAAATGTCGCACCTCTAATCTTTGTTCCATAACAGCATTCAGTGGTTCATTAAAAAACTCTACTCGAAGGCTTGAATATTTCTATCTATATTGTTAGACATCTCATCATATCCAATTCGTCGCTGGATGTCAAATCAAATAAAAGTTAAAGACTCTCAAATTTTGCATAGTATTCTTTTTTCTATTGCTAAGCGGGCATTGTTTTATCGTTTTCGTTACATAAACATCTAACATCAACTTTTTATGCATCAATAACCAAGAACTTATAAAGAATGAGGTGTTATTACACAATTTCAATTTATCTGATATCGTGTAATTGCGTTTTACATGACAAAGTAGGCTTATTTTGGAGAACCAGAAGCATATGGATGTTTTGTGCAGAGTCGCTACGCAAAAGAATACAAAACAGTTATTTTTATCTGTTTTTAGAAAATGCACTGGTTTCCTGTGTTGTTTTTCCTTGGCACAGTAGCGCTGATCGTTGACATTACTACACAAGAAGATTCAGAGAGTTCTATAATTGCTGGTAATAACTCACAAAGTGCTAATAAAAATATACATACAGAACAAATCATAGCAAGTGATGTAGGTCGGTTTCAATATCAAGATGGTGAAGTTACTCTGTTTCAAAATCAACGGAAGCTATCCGATTTTTTCTTTACACCGTTTCCACATATCGAACCAAATTTAACTGATTGTAACTATAATCATTTCAGTGGTCATACCGAACTCACCTTAGTTGTTTCGCTCTATACTATAAATTTACTTGAATCTGCTAAACATTATATTAAAAACCAGAATTATACTTGTCATACTGAACATTGTGGAGTTTCACTTTTGCCAATACACTCCATCCGTCTCATTCAAAAAGGACTTCGAACACCTGAGTCTAAAAATGAATACACATTGGATAGTGAATGGCATAGTAATACACAGCTTCGACAAACGATTGAATTTATTATTTACACGTCTAATATGCCCATTTGTGAAAGCTTAAAAACTTCAATCATGTCACGCTGCCGTCTATCGAATTTTGAAGTTCAATATTCATTACAGGGTCAACAGACAGTAACTCGAACTCTCGAAGTGACCACTGAACATGTAATGAAAACTTCAATGTACAATCAAATAACGTCTCAAATCCCTTCCGATTATCAAGACACAGTCGCTTTGACTGGCAATGACTATAAAAATTTCTTGAGTGAAATCATGGATCAAATTACAATGAATATACGAGTTGAGGAAGGTTATGAAGGCATGCAAGATCCAGTTGGAATCGATCGAATACTTGATGGTCAACTGCAGTATAAGCAAGTTCAACTGACAACCGTTAATGATCGACTTTGGGAATCACTGTATTGGACGCCTGAGTTAACGCGACCCGATCGGTTGTCGAAAATTCTGAATAAAGTTATAAAACAAGATGCCACTGACCCGGACAAATTTCACTACGATTATTCGCAGGCAGATAAAGCTATAAAACAAGATTTAAAACTTGATGAACGACAAAAACTTGACAATTTTCAAAAAAATTTAACGGCAGAATCTAAACAGACCACACATACAAGCGATATTGACAGTCATGTTGGGATTGAATCAAGTAGCAGCTTCTTAGGCCTAATCTCGGGAAGTATGGAAGTCAATACAGATGTTAGTGTTTATAATCAAGATACGAACAATGAAAGCTCGGTGAAGGATGATGCAATTCACTACAAAACAGATATGAACCAACTCAATAGCACGAATAATGAGAGAAAAAATGTTTCAACAACCATTTTAGAACGAACAGATGCGGAAAAGTTGGTTCGGTATTTGTCCAATCATGTTGAAATCGAAGGTGACATCATAAAACCAAAACCAATCGATGTTATACTCGTCAAAGTTGGCAAGTTAAAATCTAGTACAAAGCTGTTTTCAAATTCTGTCTTAGTAAAAACTCGAATGAACATACACGTTCTACCACTTCGCTGTTCATCTGAATATCATGATCGTTTGCTGGCAAACGGTTGGCTTGCAGAAAAATACCATCGCTTATCGACTGATGTTGATGCAATGCGCAATGAACTGAAGGTAACGCGTAATGAACTAAATGAGATACGCAATGAACTAAATGAAAGACACAAAGAACTGAATGAGACGCGCAATGAACTGAAGGTAACGCGTAATGAACTGAATGACGCGCGCAATGAACTGAATGAGACACGCAATGAACTGAAGGTAACGCGCGATGAACTAAGTACAATGAATTCAACAATAACTCAAATGGGGAATCAATTGGTTCCAGAAAAAACAGGTATTTCTTTCACTATCAAATGTCTTTTTTTAACGGTAGAGAAAGCTATCTTTTTAATGGAAAACGATTGTTTCCATCAGTTCTGTTAACTGGGAAGTAGGGTGTGTGTGTGTTATCTTTTTTTATACTCACTCCACACCCCACATCCACACTCACACTCACACCCACCTCCACACCCCACACCCACACTCACACTACATCCTCGCGGATCATAGCTAGCATTTTATTCTATCGACTTATTGTAGTGTTCTTATAATGCAGCATTTATCATTTTAATTGAGCACGACAAGCCCGTGCAATACTTGCTCACAATGATCTCTTTCTCACCCCTCACCCCCCCCCCCCCATCTAATCGAGATAAATCTAATGTCCATCCTGCTAGATTCTTCTCACAAATAGTTTTGTTCAGTGTTTATCCATAGCAGCAGATATGAATGATACACCGAAACAGATCATCACTGTATAATTCAGAAGCTTCTGGTTTCGGGGTTTGCTATATTGTTTCTTTGCTAGATTTATGTGGTAGTTGCTATGATGGTTCAAGTAAGTGTTGTAACACGTGCCAAGATGTTATATATGTTTATAACAGAAATGAATGGGCTTATAACAAAAATCATTTTTCACAATGTAATGAACAATAGCAGAACGATTTGTGCTACAATTCAACAGCTGGTTCTTCTAAAATAATTGAAAACAGACTGAATCTATCTTGAAACCTTTTTCTTGCATGCGCTAATTTTCGAAATGTGGGTATGGGTGAGTGTGGGTTGGCATGGGTGTGGGTGTAACCATCAACATGCACACACCCCACCCACACCCACACCAATGCACACACCGACACCAACACGCCACACCCACACCCATACCCCACCCGACATTCGAATGTTTTTTTTAAATCCTTTTTCTCAAATAAAAGCTTTTTGTTCAAATGATCTACTAAAAATATACGAAATAACGCATCATTCGAATTAGATTTTTTTTATGTTGAAAAAAAACATTTAGTTGCCTAGTTAGTTTTTACTAAATATATTTTATTTTTTCCGCTTTGTCAAAACTGATAGTCTCAGTCGGTAAAGAGAAGATTGACACTCACACCCATGCTCAACAGCATTATTCGTCTAAGATGTGATTTAGTAAAATCTTTCAAGCATCTTGATGGTCAACATCGATCAACAAACGTCGTTTGATAGAAATCACTGTTAGTCTTTTACTACTCTTTACGAACATATTTTATACTTTTGTCATAGAAGTATTTTTATCAAATATATAGCGAGAGTGAATTAGAATCAATTACAATAATATCCATACAGTCTTATTGATAATCTTCTTTTAGTAATGAATATTAACATTTGACAAGTTATGCTTTTGTTTACATATGAATATACTTTCTTACCTTAACCGTTTTAAATAACTCTATTGAGCAAATGTTATTTCAGTTTAAGAGCTTTAAAATAGAGATGCGCATAACTATCCTATTCTACGCTGCATATTTTTACTTTAACAATTTTTTAGTAAATATAAACGCTAATTGTTTTATCGAAAAACAAAATTCATGATTACTTTAATTAAAGTCACATTTGTCGGTTTACAGCATTTATATTCTGGTTACAACTCAATTTTAGACTTCTTGACATTGTTATGCATATTGGGTTTCATATTACAGAGATTGATTTTTAATCTTTATTTTTCGTAGAATTTATTTCATTTTAAATATCGCATTCACTTTTTGTTCTGTTTGTTTTTTATTATTATATGCGTAATATAGCAAAGATGAGTTGAAAGATGGATGTGGCTGGGTCTGGGTGTGGGTGTGGGTGCGGGTGTGGGTGTGGGTGTGGGTGTGGGTGCGGGTGTGGGCGCGGGCGTGGGTGGGCGAGCAGGGTCGCGGGGGGGTGCGTCC